GCTGCTTCTGTCTGCCATTGTGTTCATCCTCATCTGTGTTCTCTCTCCTTACCTTATGCTGCTAATTCATTACCCAGATTCCCCTCCAATTCCTGCCTCTTTCTATTCTGTTTTATTCAGCAGCAGAGATACCAGTTTTTTTGCTTGTGCTCACTGGTGGTTTCTAAGAGGCTGCAGAAGCCAATACAGGTTGTCCAGAGTCACAGTAATAATAACCATCTGTGAGTGATCTGTGCTCTGCTGGAGGAGATTAGTGCAGTGTTACTGCAGTACAAGTCTGACATTTCCCTGCCTTCCCTTCTCCAGTGCTTGCACATCAGCCTCCCTGGAGCCTTCCTATGTTTTGAGAGCAATTGGGACAGATGAAGACTTGGCTCACTCATCTATAAGGTGTGTGCAGTGCTCTGCCCCAATGCTGCCAAATATTTTCCCTTTCTGATACACGCAGGTGGTGGATTTGTTCCACCCCACCATAGGCACATTGTTCTGGTCCTTAATGATCTTCTTTTGGTTTAGGTTTGGCATTGGGCGTTTCACCACAGAAGAAGAAGTGGATTATACAGTGCAGAAGTGCATCCAGCACGTGAAGAGGCTGAGGGAAATGAGGTGAGTCATCTTACTGCCTGTGAACACTTCTTAGGTATGAGAACTGTGGGAAGAGCTGGATTTAGTTGAAAGCAATTGTTTGCTTCAGATATCTGGTGGTGTTCCTGTATATCAGCAAGCAGTGTCCCCAGAGTGGGTGTGGGGCTTGATCTTAACAGGAGTGACAGATTTTTAAGGAAACAAACCTGATTCCAGATCCTGCCTAGAGAAGGAATAGGATAAGCACCTAGGGCAGTGCCTAGAGGGTTCTAAGCCAGAGATTGTAGTACCGAGTTGATGTATTGATAAGTTGTTTTGTTCTGGTGAAATTGAAAGACTTGTGGCTCATCTGGACAGGGAAAATAGGAGGGCTCACCCTCAGAGACAGCAGTGGGAGCAGGGGATGCCCTCCCACCTCTGGTGCTTTGGGCTGAGGATATAGCTTCTGTGTTCACTGGAGCTCACTGACCTCCAGCAGGGGAAGATAGGCAGACAGGTATCTCCTGCTTTCTTGTGTCACTGATAAAACTGTCTGTCTGGTTATTGTTATTGATGATGTCCTGTGCATTTTCTCCTCTCTCTCCAGCCCCCTCTGGGAAATGGTGCAGGATGGAATTGATCTCAAAAGCATTAAATGGACTCAGCACTGAGAAGACATCACTATCCATGGACTGGATGTGGATTAACATACATTTTTCTATACATTCTTGAGCAAATTATGCAGCACTTGTGTTTTTTGACACTTGCAGTTTGCCTGGAGAACTGCCCTTTCTGATCACAAAGTCTAAGAAGCCAAAAATGAAACTAGTCTTTATCATGGAGAAAGGTAGATCCAACATCCACTGCATTTCAGTGACACTCTGGGATTTATGCTAAAATGTGATTAGTTTGGAAATGTATTTTCTAATAAGAAAAACCAGTATGTTGCTGCCAGGCCAGTGGAATCCTGGCGAGGGGTTGTTTAACTCATCCTGGGTCACTGCTGTGTTTGTGCACAGTCCTGTTGCCAGCTTGCTCTGTTGGAGGGTGGTGTCCTGCAGCAGCAGTTGGGCTTTGCTCTCAAATGCTTTGTGCTGCCAGAAATTCTCAGTCAAGAAGATGCTTGGCATCTCTGGAGGAAAGGGATTCCTCAGTGTAGCAATGTGCCTTCACAGATGTGTGGTATGTGCAGTTAAGAACAATTTTTTTCCCCTAAATTGAGTTTTTTTGGCCTGGTTTTCCTTGGTTTTACCTGTTTGTTTGTGTGTGCATTAATCCAGAAGATCCCTCTGTGTTCCAGAGTTTATGGTACAATCATGTTGCACTTTGCTGTCCCTTCCATTGGAGTTTTTCCATGCAATTTTTTTAGGTAAGGAAGGAAAACTTGAATGACTTGGGGAGGGGATAGGCAGAATATGTCAGTGTCAGTGGCAGCACTGGTTTGGGGGAGCAGAAGAGTGGTGGAGGTGGTGGGGAGAGCAGACACAGTGCAATGAGTTAAGGCAGTTTGGGGGGTTGGGATGTTTTGGGTTAGTTTTGGTTTAGATTTTTCTCCCCTTGCCACGAGTCCTTCGCTGTTATCAGTGTGCCTGTGGGCCCTTGGCTTCTGTCAGTGCAGGGAGTTGTGCCCAGCTGAATCTGTATGTTTTGTCTGGAGGTGAGAACACACCACTGGAGTTTTCTGTGTCTGATAGACTGTTCTGCCTGATCAGAGTCTCACGTGGAACTCCATTCCCTGCACCTGCTGGGGAAGTGTCTGCTCAGAAGGGTTTGATGAGATTAATTCATATCAGTGTGTCTCCTTTCTTACCTTTGGTGATCTTAGCAGTAGGAAACTGAACCCTGTGTGACCAAGTGCCTTTGTTTCAGTGCTTAAGCAAACAGCTCTCAGATGAGTTGTGCTGACTGATGGATGCTGTGTTAGCTGCTGAATTTGATACACCCCACAGACAAGACAAGCACCTTCAGTTTGGGGTGGAGTCTACCTCGAGGATCAACTGTGTGGTGTAGAAGCCAAAGCTGAGTCTCACAAGGTGGATTGTGTTACAGAAACTTGGGCTTTTTTTTGTTCCTAGGGACAGATCTAGTTGTTTGTAATGCAAAGCTAATCCTCAGTTGTTCTATTGGAAATTACCAGCTGTAGCAGGTTTGATATTGTAGTGCACCTTCTCTTTCATCACAACATTTTTAACAGCACCGTAGGCATAAATAGGTTTTAGCAGTGTTGTGTGTACTCTGTTTTACCCTTGGGCTGTGTCTATTTCTAGATGAGACATGTGATAAGGCTTTGACAGCATGTTTTAGAACTGTATGTTTGTGAAATTGTTCTTTGTGTTTCAAGAATGATAAAAAGTTATAGGTAAGACCTAAACTTGGCTACTGTCAGTCTTTTTGGATCCATTTTCTGGGTGAACTATGCAGCACAATCACTAAGTTGCTAAACTGAGCTTTCATTAGGGAACAGAGCAGGGGAAACCTCTGATGTTTCTGATAAAAGTTCACTGTCATCAAATGCAGTGCCTGATACAATTTTTTAGCTCACACAGCTTAAATTGTGATTATTTTGAGAAAAGGAAGCCCCAAATCTCAAAGGTTCTGAGCACCTCTTACGTGCTAAGATTTAACATTCTGTGTGTAAAGGTTTGGGAAACTCATTCATGCTGGTAACAAATGTTTGTCTGAAAGGACAAGATGAGAAAAAATGTAGAGTGGAGATACTTTTCTCCATGACGGAAAGATGGAGGTTGAAGGTCTAGTTGTGCTCACTGAATGCAGTTAAAGCTTTTGGGGAGAGGAACCTCAGTCCATCCCACTTTTCCGAGCTCGATGCCAAGTGCCAGTGGGATATGCCTGGAGCCTGAAGAGGGGTCCCAGGAGAACACCTGAAGGGCAGCACAAAGGAGTTCCATCTGCTCTGGGCTTCATGGAGGTGGGTGGTGGAGGCATCTTAAATGTCTCACTGCACACACACATGGCCTGGGGAATAAACAAGAGGAGTTAGAGCCTATAGTTGATCTTATTACCAACCCGGAGACCTGGTGGGATGGCTCCTGTGGCTGGAGGGTTGGAACGGAAGGATCCAGGCTCGTTAGGAAGGGGAGATGGCAGGAGTGATGAGGAGGCACTGTTGTCCTCTATGTCAATGAGCAGCTGGAGTGCCTGCAACTTCACCTGAGGATGAGTGAGGAGCTGTCTAAGGAGCTTAGGAGTCAGGACTGGTGTCCCCAACCTCAGAAGGACACGGAACTATTGGACTAAGTCCAGGGGAGCTCACAAAGCTGATCAGAGCACTGGAGCACCTTTCCTATGAGCACAGGCTGAGAGAGTTGGGGCTGTTCAGCCTGGAGAAGAGAAGGTTGTGTGGAGACCTCAGAGCAACCTGCCAGGAGCTGAAGAGGCTCCAGGAGGTGAGGTGTCCCTGCCCAGGACAGGGGGTTCAGACTCTATGATCTCTAAGCTCCATTCCAACTCCTTAACAATCGGTGGAGCTATGAAACTATAAGATCAAGTTCAAGACCATCTAAGGAACCTGAATGTGCACCAGTCAGTGGAAGCTGATGAGATGCATCTGTGGGTCCTGCAGGAGCTGGCGGAGGAAGTGGCTCAGCCAAGGTGTCCCTGCCCAGGACAGGGGGTTCAGACTCTATGATCTCTAAGCTCCATTCCAACTCCTTAACAATCGGTGGAGCTATGAAACTATAAGATCAAGTTCAAGACCATCTAAGGAACCTGAATGTGCACCAGTCAGTGGAAGCTGATGAGATGCATCTGTGGGTCCTGCAGGAGCTGGCGGAGGAAGTGGCTCAGCCAAATACATCATATTTGAGAAGTCCTGGCAGTCCAGGGATGTTTTCACTGATGGGAAAATGGAAAACAACCCCCATTTTAAAAAGGGGAAATATGGAAGTCCTGGGGAACTATACCTGACCGAGTTCCACACTGGCAGTCCTCTGTGACATTAGTCATGGGCCAACTGTTTCCAGTCAAGTTGTTTCTTTCTACGTGCTGTTTATTGCTGAAATAGTCTGGGGGAGACTCTTGTGATGTTTACTGTGTGGACTATGAAAAACAACTCCTGTGCTTTGAAGTGATACAGTTTCCCAGTGCTGAGCCCCCAAAAGCTGGGCTAAGATATCTCTACTAATGACAGCTCTGATGACATTTCAGGCTGGTGAATAAGGTCCTGCAAATGCCAGTGTTTAAAATGGACGAGCTGGGTGGTTGGCACAATGATCCCTCTGACAGCTGATGTTCCTCTGATCTGTCCAAATCAGGCTAATAAAAAAAAGGCTGGTACAAAATGCTCCTGTAAGAAGCAAAGCTCACACTAATGAGCAACCAGAGTTTTGTGCTGAATAGACATAGTAAAACCAAAAAGATGTTTGATTCTAACCACACAGGATCAATGAGGCACAGGATAGCAGACTGACAGGTTTTAAGTAGAGATTGGGGTAAGGAATGCAGAGAGTATTTCTGGGAGGATTATTTCTGCTGAACATTTTTCTGAATGATCTGGAACCAATTAAGATTTGTCGTTGACGTGTAGTTATTGGAAAGGAAATTACACAGTGTGAATCATTTAGCAAACTGAGCTCATTCATCCAAACCACATCCTTGTACAGATGAGAGAATACAATCAGGGGCTGTTTGGCACTGGTGTCTGTTCCGTGGTGAAGAACAACACCACTAACTGAAGCTTGAGTGAACTAGATGTTCTTTCCCCACAAAAACTTGGGTATGGCTGAGAAGGCAGTTGGAGACTGGGTGGTGTAGTTTCTAGGCTTTATCCCACCTCAGCTCAGGACACTGCCTGGTTCTCAGTGTGGCATTCAGACGTGACAGGCACAAACACATCGTGGGGCATCAGCCCAGGGGAATCTCTCCTTGTAATCTGCAACCTGGTCCAGAGTGAAGAAGTCACAAACAGCCACTCAGAGTTTTGTTTGCTTGAAGTCCAATGCCCTTTTCAAGTTCCTGTTCCCTCAGCAACAATCCTCAGTTACAGAGTCATTAACTCTCAGAAAATGTGTCATGGGATTGCAGTGTTATTTTAGTACTCCAGTTTTATATACATAAATATATAATAGATATAATAT